TAATGCTTTCAATTAGGCAAAATATCTAATTTTTTTATTAAGTCTTAAGATATGTAAAGCAATGTTTCTCTCATGCTTTTATTTCTTTTCACATCTTGCCTGTCTGTCATACAAAGTAATTGTAATTTTAACGTTTGTGCATCAGAAAATTTTGAAATTTCATATACGAAATCTTTATAATGTCCAGATAGTTATGAGACTGTTATTTTTATTAATTAATATCCATACAGGTTTGGTAAATTTGACCAATCTCGCAACCATCATAAAAAATTAGGAAATTAACATAAATTATGCCTCTTTCATTCTAGAATGAACACAAATTATAACACATAAACATAAATGTTTAAATGAAATAGCTTAAATCTCATAACATTAAACATTTATATATATATTTATTATTTTTATTATATTGACCTTTCACCTGTGCCTAGCTAACAATACAAAAATTACAACGACGCGGCTCATGTGCACTCATGCTACCGTATCAAGTAACATAAAGGTGACCTTTGGTCGATACAAAGTAACTTGTCTTGGCAGTGTTTTAGTCGACTAGTATTTTGTAAAATACAGTCACATTTCAATAATTATACATTATATATGCATATAGATTATTGCTATTTTGAAAGAAGTTCTTAAAGTTATTTCTCCTAAACATAGAACAGTAAATAAAGAAGTAAAGCAAACAATTATCTCTTCTAGTTACGACCTTTTTACTTGGTTGCGGCTTGATGTAGGTTGCTAAGCTTTTAAAAATTTTGCACGTGGAGGATATGAAACAAAATATTTTTTTAGGTTTTATATATACTTTTGAATAACTAAAAAATCATAAATTACTACATTATTACTTGATAACTAAGCTGTATTTGGGTGTTAAAAAATATGAAATTTCAAGCAGACTAAAGACACAACCTACCTCATTGAAATCTTGGTTCAAAAGAAAGAAATGGCATTAGGTACATTAGAAAGGCTGAGAAAACCACTAGGGGGACATTCTGAGCTTCCAATTGGTTATTCATGTCATATATAGAAGTAAGTGTATGTAAGGGAGCATTTCCAAAAGTAGAAAGAGGTGAGTGGAGTGCCACTGTGTTTGATTTATTACATGAGCAATATCTTAGCAAATAGAAAAGATAAGACCTTCTTATTTTATATTCTAGCTTGTCAATATCTGTAATTTGAGTTTCTAAATTGTATGAAACTGTAGACTTAGTATTTTGACTTCACAAACATCTAATTTGAACCAGTGCTGCATTCAACATACCACTTGACACACTTGATGTTTATCTGTGTTTTTTAAATATTTACGAATGTTAACAAATTGAGTAATGTATAGTTCTAAAATTTAAATTATAATCCACAGTTTGATACCAAACTTATTGACATAAATTCATGAAAT